CACAGGTGAAGGGATGCTCTAGACTAGAGTGAGGTAGGTGTGGGCAGAGCAAAGTGTGGAGCATAGAGGAAGGGGAGCATGGAGCGAAGGGAGTACAGGGAAAGGGTGCAGGGATGGAACACATTGTGTAGGAGGAAGCCTGGGGAAAGGAACACACAGAGCAGGGAAGAGTGCATGGAAGGGGCACACAAAGCAGTGCAGGGAGCTGCTGTAGCTCTGGCCCCAACCCCAACTGCAGTCTGGAGCAGGAGCCACCACTACTGCCTCCATACCCCCGGTGGAAACAGAGTTAAGCAGCTGCAAAGGTAGGGCAGAGGCACCAGAGGGGGACAGTGGCAAAGAAGACTGGGGACAGGCAACAAGGGGACAGGCATGGGGGGGCAAATGGCAGGGGGCCAAAGGATGTGGGGCAAGCTGACTTATCCCCAGCTGCTGCTTTCCTTTCATCAGTGTGGGGAGTGGGGATATGAATTTAAGATAACCCTCTAACAACTAGATTTTAGCCATGGCAAATTAACCAAACGTATACTTTACCATGCCTAGGATCTAATAATTGGGGGTTGTCTAAAATTCAGGATTGTCTTGGATTTGGGAAAATATGGTACCTACATTTCATGTGACATTCTGTGATACAGTACTTATGCTTTAATATTTAGATGAGTATGTAGTACTTAGCTGCCTAAAGTTGAGCAGAAACATGAGTGCATTGATTAGGTTGAGGCTTTAGATTCCAGAGAATAGTTAGAAGAGGCTGGCATTCTCTTTATGATGAGGGCCTAGAAAAAATCAGTAGAGTTCAGATTGTGATTTAATAAGCTGTTTAATGGACTTAGGAAGGGGGTTCCAAGTCACGTGCCTCTCCCTATTGTTTATCTTTTTGTCCCTGCCTTGGAGTCCCCTTCAGAGATTTAATAGGCAGGTGATAGCTAGGGCAACAATCCCTAATCTGGTCAGATGCTGATGAGAAGAATAAATTCTCCTTCTGCATGGGTAGAGCAGATTAAGGAAGAACACTTTAATGAGATGCAGCCAAAGCCACCGAGACAGCTAGCAGCCAGTCCCACGCAGGCAGCTGGGGACTTGTCTGCCTGCCTCCTGACATGTTGGCAATATTTACAACTAGTAAGCATTAGCAGCTTAGAAAGCTGAGGTGTTCTGACTTGTACCTTAGTTGAGCAGGGCAAACTTTTTTTTTTGCCATGCATGCCACAAATCAGGGTTGCAGTCTCCCCAAATGCCACTCTGATCCTCTTCCTCCACCTGATTGTCTGCTCTGCTTTCTGTTCCTTACTCAGTGCTCTGTGCTGTCTCCTACTCTGCTTTCTGCCCTGTTGCTGTGCTACCTTGCCTCCTCCCTGATCTGCCATGTGCCACATATTGAGGCTGCCTGTGCCCATGCCACTTGTGGCACTTATTCAACAGGTTGGCCACACCTAGCCTAGGCAGTGAGAAAGAACTGGGGCATGTTGGGGGCAGCACGGTCCTTGTAACTATCAGTTACAAACATGAGGACTTGAAGGGTAAATCTGCTTCAAGGGCACTGGATGTGCATCCACCATCAGTGGAATGTCTCTGTGAACCCTTACATGAAGAACAGGTTTTTCCCATCACGTTCCACACATTGATGTTGTTTGATTGGGATTTTAAAAAGTATGTCATCTTGTTTTTATAGCAAACATGCATATTATTGTAACTTACTTGAGTGAAGTTTTTGAAATACTTGTCTGTTAGTGTTGTACATACAACAGTGAGCTTTTGCTTGTGTCTTAGAAAATCAGCTGGAGTCATCAGCAGTCCTTCCTTTTGAGGACAAGGCTATTTGATCTAGGAGTTAAAGCACAAATCTGTTTCTAACACTGCCACTGACTTGAAGTCAACCCTCAGCCTCTGTTTCTCCCTCTATAAAACAGGAAAAGACTGAAAGCCAAGTCACTTTAGTTTGAGTTTCCAATTATGAATTCAGGAACTCATGGCTCAACTTTATAAATTTGGCCTAAAACTAAATAGGACCTGCAGAATTAGTCTTTTTCAATGGAATCGCTGTCTTGAAAAACAGGTTTCTGCATATTCTTAGTTGGCGTCTTTTAAGTGTTATGTAGAGCACTCTGTACATTTGTGATGCTAAATGAAAAAAAATATATATTAATTTTATAAACAGTATGTGTAGGAGGGAACTTTTCAGACAGTATTTATTAAAACATTTTTGTTTTTCCTTTGTACTGGACTGAAAATGAAACTAAACGTAAGTATTGAAATGATTCCCCACTCCCCACCCAAATCTGCTGTTATGCTATAAACAAATGCTCATGTAGGCAACACACACAGGCTAGAAATACTAAGAGAATAATGCAAGTACATTTTATGTATACAATTGAGAGTAGGCTTAGTGCCAAATGGATTTACTGAGTAGACATTCTGTAAGACAAAAATGTTAAAAGGACAGGAAGCACACACCAGTATGTTTGACAGCATAGTTCTCCTTAATAGGCTGCCTCTAAAATTTGGACTTTATCCTTGTTCATCCCATTGTTTTTTTAGCATTCCAGTATATTTCTTATCAATTTACAGACCAAAGGTGTGTCATTCTTTGCCTTTATTCTTTGGAAAATACAATTTCTCAAGATAAACACAATACATTGTATTCAGAGCCAACACAATCAGATAACCTGAGCATAAATGACTTATGCATGACATTTTATCTTTGCACCCTGGTTCACAATCCATTATTACAAACTTTTACTTGGTTATAAGATAAAAATGGAGAGCTAATTAGTAGATTACTAGATGTTGCGCCTGTAGAAAAGCCATTATGGCAAGGGAGCTCAAAGCCAATACTAGCATTCCAGGTGACTGCTCCCCATGAATAAAGGGACCATAGTCATTTGCCCTTTTTTACTTTGTACTTTAGAGTTAAATTCTCTATTAGCTAAAAGCAAAATGAGTGACATTCCTCATCCCTGACTCTAAGATTGTTTTCCAATGTAGCTAGACATTTAGGGCTACATTTCACCCTGCTTTTCATGCCTATGTGGCCACACAACTGCCATTTTTGGTACTTAAAATAGAATCACCATGTTTATATATCTTCCAGAAGTAAAGACACTTAGTAGTGAGGGAGCTTACCCAGGGACCATGAGACCCAGGTTCAAGGCCCCACTCACCCAATATTTTTTGCTTTCCAGCACAGTGCTGTAACCTCCAGGCCAGCCAGCACTTAAGAACATAAGAGGTGTCATCTGGGTCAGACCAATGATCTATCTAGTCCAGTATCCTGTCTCTGCCAGGAGTACATGCTTTAGAGGGAGAGAGCACTGAACCAAATATCTCTGAAGTGATTTATCTCCTGCTCATGACTCTCTCTGGCACCCACCATTATTGGCTGAGAGCTGCCAAAGAAAACATCTCCAATGGTTCTGTTTAACACCTATTGATAAATCTATCATCCATGAACGTTAGTCCATTTTGAACCTGTGGTCTCTGCCACTACCACCTCCTGTGGCAATTAACTGTACAAGTTAATTACACTTTGAATAAAAAAGTACTCTCTCTTGTTAGTGTTAAACCTGTCATCTCCTACAAATTTCAGTGGCTGCCGTATAGTTCTAGTATTCTGGGACCGGGTGATTAACATTTCCCTGTTCACTTTATCCAGCCTTCTCCTTTCTAAACTGAAGAGTCCTAGCCTTTTTAGTTTCTCCTGATATGGTAACTGCTTTATACGCCTGATAATTTTGATTGTTCTTCTCCGTATCTTTTCCAAGCTGGTGATACTTCTTTTCCTAAATGCAGTTTTAGAAACATATTACCCAAGTGCCATGGCCCCAGTTTTTGCTGAAGTTTTCTGGAACCAGGACCGACAGATCTTGAAACTGATGTTTCTCCAGTGGTTTGCTAAAAGGGGAAGAGGTTGAGGCCAAATGCCAAACAACCCAACAGCAACTTTAAAGGAATACATGCTCTGGCAACATTTATCTGGTCATTGGCTTTACCAGCTGTATTTCCACTTTCTTGTCTGTTTCTACAGCTCATTTGGGTGTCAAGACGACTTTTTCCACTAGTTCCATGGCTCCAGAGAAGCCCTTCTTTACTTTGATCTTTTTGCTTCTCATTTATGAGAACTTCCCCCAATGCCTGAGCCACCTGAGTCCTTCACTGTTGGAGTCTTCCATGAGTTCAAATATTTCTTGTTATTTTTCTTCACTTGTTCATTTACCAAACCTTAGTGGCAACATCATGAAGTGTCTTGACCCTCACAATGTGGACTCTGTAAAACGAGAAAAGTAAGTTATTATCGTTTCCTTGGCAGCAAAGAATGATCATTCACTCTGCAGTTCTGAGAGGCCATCCCTACAACCTTTTGTAAGTCTTGAGAAACTCTGGAGAAAGCAAGTCCTTCACCATTTTCCCCATGTGATTTGAAACCATAATGAAGAAAACTTTCTTAGCTCAAAGCAATTGTCATCTGTAACTGGAAGATGGCTGTTTGCTGAACTGGGTACATTACACTGCTGTCCTGCTACATTTATACACTAGTAGGAGGTCAATATAGGGCCATGACCCCTGCCTGAGCTTACTAATTCACAGCAGTTTCAGGGTGTTGAATGGACAAATGCTAATGAGACCAGACTATGGATTGACTTTGCACCTTTGCAGGTAGTCCCAACATCGGGGTATATCACTGATCTGTGTCTCAACAGCAAGGAAACTACCTATTTAAAGGCTAAAGAGGACCAAGCAAAATATGCATTGCTATTATTCAACATAATGGTACCTCCCAATGTTCTGCCTGATAAATAGCAAAGACAACTATTTGAGAACAGGGGAGAAGACCACCCCAATTTTGCAGTGTTAGAGCCCTATTAAGGTATACTATATCCCCTGCAGACCTGCTCAGTGCTCTTTATTCTAATCTGGAATGAGTTTTAGGCATAAGGTGAGTTTACACCATTGAGGCTGTATAATGTATGTTATACCTGGAGCTTGCTTATTGCTTTTTTTTTAAACTGAGAAACACCTTGCTAAAATTTGTAATAACCAAACATTGCACTGATGAACTGAATTTGTTTGATCTGAACACACCAGATACTTCATAACTTTCTGCTCCTAACACATTGCTATGATAAGGCATTCTTTTTTTGAATTTGGCAGAGTTTATGAATAAACGCCATAGTGGGTGGGTGGCTATGCACTGAGATGAGTAGCAGTCCACAGAAGAGGGGGAAAGGTTATAGCTGATATGCTGGCTACTACAGTCCAGTTGCTGCAGTCATTCTTTGAAACACAAAAAGGGAGCTTGTAACCAAGAAAGGGTACTAGCTACATCTGCCAAAGATGATGGTATCCAGCTCTAGAAATAAAACACGTATACTAGGTGTTCATCACCAGGCAACCTTAGTGAAAGTTACCAGTCTTCTTGGCTGCCATGCCATTGGCAGGAGACTTGCTAGCAACATGTCTGGTATCCAGATCTATCGTTACAGGCTGCTGTGCATTAAAGGACTTCTGTTCTGGATACGACGCATCTTGCAGTCCCTGGCATTTTTTTGTTCTTTGATTGTAGCTGAAATGATGTGCAAGTTGATGCTGGTATTCTCTACCAAGATTCTGTCCAACTTGTCAAAACAGATGCATGGCTTGATTGCTGCCAGTGGTCTGGCTTGTTTTCTTAGCTTCTAAGCCATCTTCATATCCTTTGCTTTCAGGTAGCTGTATCTTGTGTCTTAGTTACAACTCCACTTGGCCAGCCTGTTAGGAATTTCTTCAAAATATACAGCTTTCAGTGTCTGGACCCTAGGACTTCCCAAACTCTTGCCTCTCTCCAGCAGTAAGGAGGTTCAGGACCTCAGTGCTATTCAAGTTGAAAGTACAGAGATGCAATACCAAAAGCCCACTTGGGTTTATAAACTCCTGAAGCACATAAGCACAAGTAGATTGTTGAATCTGATTGTGCCAGTACTTAAAACAGAAAATTAACATCCTGTTATGGTGTTCCTTGAGCAAGAGAAGGCACAACAGGTGAATCAGTTGATCCAAGCAAGGTGTAAATCATAAGGGGAAGAAAGCTGCAGGACTGCCAGTAGTAGATTGCAGCACAGTTCTAATCATGTGAAGGTGACAAGGTAATTTGCTATGTCAGATTAATTTCCTGCTGATTTCAACTGAAGTAAAACTACCAGTTACTGTGTTATATGCAGTTATGCCATATGAATGCAAATCTTTGTTTGATGTAATCCAGATTACTACAGAACAGACCTCCTGCATAGACAGTTCATTAGCCTTTTGAAAGCATTACTTTTACTATTTTAGGTTTCCCAATGTCTATTTGAGTCTCACTCCAGTAACATTTGGCCCATCACACTTGCTGTTCTTCCTTAGCCCTTTGAAGCTTCCTCCTTCTGTCTTCCAATGATTCTTTTACAGCTCCATTTTAATGAAGCCCTAGTTAATCTTTTCTTTTCATGTCTTAGTATCAGATTGTTTTCTGTAAAAGTTTGGAGACAACTGCAAAGTCCTCTTCCTCTTTTTCTCACTATACTAAAAAGTGGCTGGAACAGCCACACTACACACACGAGGTATTCATGCTAGGCCATTTTGGATATCTGATCCAAGAAAGTTAGGAACATTCAAAAACATGAATGAGGCACCTGTGATGCAATATGCCTTTAGGATTCCTCCTGATACTTACCAGACTTTCAGAGAATATTTTTTTTCAGGAATAAAATTCAATTTTATAACAATAAGATGCAAAGTTCTAATAAGAATGTATTTTGGGGGGAAGATTAGAGAACTGTGCATGTTGAAAGCTGAGCTTCTAATAGGATACTAGTTTAAAATATTAAATTTACAAGAAAGCAGTCATTTTTTAATTTTGCTTAGATTTTTAACAGAAATGCTGTTTGCCAATACAACTTGATCTACACTAATATTTCTCTAGTATATCTATGCCAACAAAACAGTATAGACAAGGTGTAAGAATTCTCCCCGTTGACATTAATGTCAATACAGGGAACAATAGATTAGAGGAGAATATCACTTTTACAAGAACTAGTTATGCCTTTATATAGTGTCTACATGTGTCAGTTCCTGATCAGATAAGACCTGAGAGTTTTCACCTACATTTAAGTAATGATTGATAAAATAATGTAGGAAAAATAAATATGGCATCAAGCTGCATAGTGCAAGACTATCCAGTTGGATTTTATCCATATATGTTTACTTAACAAGGTTTTATGTCCCAAAGCACAGGCACACACTCAAGGGGCTTTCAATTCATGACTCCTCCTGGTTTTAGCTAATATAATATTAACAAAAATTAGCCCAACACTCTTGTTTTAAAAAAGCTACGTGGATTCAATACGAAAGAGTAAAAGATAAAAGAAACTAGAGAGAAACTCATATGCATGAACAAACTTTTAAAAAATGCACGTTACAGGTTTTTTATTTATGCTTAAATCCTTTCAAAACAAATACCTGTTAAAGGAATAAGCCCATTAAAATGAACTAAAATCATATGTACCAAGTATTGATACAATAGTTACACCTGTTAAATGATAATCACACCGACTTTTAGGAGAAAAGTCCTTTCTAGACACAAGGGAAACATTCAAGTGTTTAGTTGAAAACTGCTATGTAGTATCTCCAACAGGCCTTTGTCATGTAATAGCATTACAGCTCAGGTTCTACAGATCAACAACAAAAGGCCTTGGCCATTTTTAAACTGTATATCATCAATGGGTAGAGGTCAATTTAATGTTTTCTTTAATGAAACAACCCATTTTAAATTTTCTTTAAACTAGCAAAACAAGTTTATTTAAAAATTAAATGCTCTGCCAAAAACTAGACATTAATTTGTAATGGCATGTTTCATGGGAAATTATATCTGACACAAACCAGTGTGTTTTAGAAATAAAACCTAGGATAATCAAGTTTAAAGAAGCATATTAGCTATCACAAAAGAATTTACAGGACAGCTTCAAATTCCTGTTTGATTAATTTAAACATAATAATTTTGTGTGAACAGACATAGAAAATATAGGAGTGCTGAACCTGCACTTTTAGCCATGGTAGTAGTTGTCAAAACCTCAAACCACCACCAGAATGTGGCATTTTTCAGTGCCACACACAGCATTTAATTCCACCTAAACCCAAGGCAACAGTTGATTAAAAGAAAACATAACAGTCAAATGATAAAGCTACATAGTTTAGTACATTAAAACAAAAACAAGGACAGCGATACTTGTATAAAGTTCCAAAAATATACAACTGGGGGGTGGGGAAGAATTAAAAAAAAAAAACCAAAAAAAAAAACCACTGTACACAACAACTCTGAGGTTGTTAAAGTGACCAATCAAAAGACTGAACAGTGCAAGACATGCTTTTCCAGTTACAAGCTAAAAACAGAAGTGCAAAAGAAATTAAAGCTTTGTCTGAAGTGATTTACCTTTCAGAATAAGGAAAGTTAAGAGTATAGTTATTAATATTACAGAGATCACTTTTCCACACATGAAATTCTTTAAGATTTCTTGTAATACAGTGTTTCGTTCAGTGTTCCACTAAGCCTGCTTATTGTAGGGACAGATAATTTTGTCCAATACTCATCAGCTTTTGGTCTATGAGCCAAAGGAATAACAGACAGAAACAGCCTCTGAATTTTCAACCTCTAGCTGACCGTACCTGCAGTTTACAGGCAGTGGAAGCAGCAAATAGCCTGGCTTAAATACTTCCTTTTCTGCAACTGGTCTCACAGGAACCCCTCCACTGTAAGAAAGCAGCTGTACTGAAAGTAGATGCAAAGTTATGGCTGAAGAATTAAAATTGCTCTCTAACTCTGGGAAAGTACAGAGACTTAATTTAAGAGCAACTCCAGGCAAGTGCTTTTAGTGAGCTGATTAAGCAATGCATGCATCTATTCATGCAAATGTAGAATATGGCTCCAGATACTTTGAACTAGGGGGTGTGCACGTGTAGACTGGATAGAAGTCCCTTGCTCATAGTTTACAAAAATATATAGCCAATACTGTAGCATAAGAAGTTATTTTACTTATTACATAGATCCCCAAAGTATTAACTACTTTTCAGACATTCCAGACAAGGTCACTTGTAACAAAAGAGTCAACTTGTTTTAAAACAAGATTTAAAAAGTGGGTCTTTTTCAAGTGAAAAGGACATCTGTTTGTAAGTTTAACTTTCTAATCAGTCGAGACTGGATTTATTTAAGATTTTTTATGTGAATATATGCATAAACACAAATAAGTTCACTTTAACACATCTGCACAGAAGAAAAAAAAGGTTAACTCCTCAAAACATGATAGAGCAGGTCTGGTTAGTACGTATCTATTGCAAATTATAAAGATCCTGTGCGTTAGGCCCACTCAGACAGAAGCAGAGGGGAGAAGGGGAAATAAATGTCTCAAGAGTGAGAAGTTTACTTTTCAAGTCTAAGTGGAATTTTGGAGAGCCAGCAGCCTAAATGACACCATGCTGCTAATCACAGTATCCAGGCAAGCCAAACTGCTCGGGTTACTAGAAAAGTATATTCTTCTGGAGGTGTCATTTACTCCAAAATTATTTTCTGTTTCGAAGGCGTTTAGATTTCCTAGGAGAGTCTATAGATTCAACTGCCTTCCTCCGTTTTCTAGGAGACTCCTCATTTGAGCCAGAACCTGAGGAATTTCCTACTGCACTTTCCATTACTTCTCGGAGTTTGCGTTCAAGCTCAGCCAAGCGGGCGTTCTGTTCACCTATGATTTGGGTTTGCTCTAGCAGTTTCTGGTCTTGGTCCTGAAGCTGTTTCTGCTGTTCTTGCACTTTGGTGCGAAGCTCTGAAATTTCCCGCCTTAGCATAGTCACACCTGCACCATTTGTTTTGACCTGCTGCTGGAGTTTGGTGACTTCCTGCCTTGAAGGGTTTTGCTTGGAGAACAGCTGCATTGTTGTCAATGCAGCAGACGGACCTGGAACTTGAGAGAGAGAAGGGGGCAGGAAAAGGAAGTGATTTTATTATTAAAACAAGATTTAGGGGCAGAGGGAAAAGCCCCCAAGTGTACCAAATCATGCCCAAATTCACGTTTTATTCCACCCCATTGCCAAATCCAGAATCTGAACAATCAGTAGTTTGAAAAATACTCCAAGTATGTAAAGGTTACAACTACTTGGTAATAGTCAAGAGAATTGCTCAGAGAATGAGTCAGGGTACAATTAGGCCCACTATTTTAGGTTTTTTAGGAATTCAAAGCATAAATTGTCTTCCACTTCTGAATATAAAAGCATTATATTGTGTCATCAAGATTTAAGCAATAAACAAACCACCAAGTTAAAAGATAAAGGGTATGCACAAAGTCAAGAAAAAAAATAAAATGTTACTGTGACTAGATTGCTGGAGGCAAAAATAGTCCTCCTACTGGAGAATTATGCAATCGCATGGGAAAAGTATTAACCGAGTCCTAGAGTGACAGGTGAATACCAAATTTATTTGCATTTGTTCTCTTGATATCATGTTGGAGTTTAAGCAATGGTTAAGAAAAAAGCCTCATGAATATTCAATAGTTGCTGCTTTGCACATACAATCCATTATTGCACAGGTTGTTTGTGGGATCTGAAGAAATCTCACTGAGACCAGGATTATCTTCAGTTAGACTAATAGCTCTGCCATTTGACTTTCCACCTGATATACAGGATCTACTCAAATTGCAATTTTGTGATTTTTGCAGAAACCATGAAAAACATGTTTCCATGAATGCCACAAAAAGCATCAGTTTCCACAATTTTGCGTGCAATTGCTGGGAAAAAAAAATTTGCTAAAAATAAAATGCTGGCTCCCCAGTGGGAGCATGGTTCAGCCTCACAGCCTGCAGGGGGCAGCATGAAGGGGAACAGCCAAGATGGTGCCCATCCCCTCCTCCCTCTGCCACTGACTGGCAGTAAAGGCTCCCTTTCGTGTGGCCCCATCCCTCTTGGCCAATCAGCAGTGGAGGCGGGGCTGCCAGGGCCCTCTAGGCAGAGGTGTGGAGGGGGGTGCAGGAGGAAGGGTGGGCACCATGATAAAAACCGTGAAAATGGTGGCTAGCACTGCAGTAGGTCTGTGAAGTTGCCCATCACCCTGATCTGGGTGGGTCCCTACTTATATACTATAGTGGCATTTCACCCTTTGGAGAGGTTATGCAAGTCATAAAACAGCTCTTAGCTATATTAATCCACATGGTTCAACCTATGCATGTTACAGCAGATATAAAGCTAAAGCCAGTGTAGAAATGGCCCTATTTCATTATACAAAAAACAATGGAATCATCATTTCCAAGCCGTTTTTAAAGCCACAACACTAATAGGTGGTGGAAGCTCCATCCTTGGGGGGGGTTTCAAAATCCAGCTAGACAAACCCTTGGATAGGATGATCTAGTTGGGGCTGGTCCTGCTTTGAGCAGGTTGGACTAAATGACCTCCTGAGGTCCCTTCCAACCTTAACTTTCTACGATTCTATAATACCGGAGCAGAATGGCTGAAGACTGCAGGGTATGGAGTGAAGGAAGATGGGTGTGTTGATACAGCTTGTGTGTTATGCTAATCCAATTGTCATGCCCGTTTATGAGCTGTTTTTACTTCTCTTACCCAAAAGGGAAGGATAAAAGAATTTCATCTAATAATTCCTATACCCACATAATTTCTGGTTGAACTAAAGGATACATTTTTACAAAGCCCTCAACTCGATTTACAAAGACTGACTGATGAAAAATTTCTCTCTCTTAGTACCCTAAGGTCCTGAGACAGAGGGCTGGCATGCATCTTGTGCAAGTTAGGAAGGTGTTCAGCTTTTTGGAATATAGTGGCCAAAGTGGCAAAAGCTAGCCATCTCAACATGTTGAACGTATAAATTAAGTCATCTGAAGCCTGTGACTAATTAAGTAAACAGTTTGAACATTCACTTTTACTATTTTCAAGTGATTTTTTCCACTTTACAGATTACAGGCCTACAAATATTTTATTTCAGATGAGAAAAAATACATCCAAACATTCTTTAGTTTTCTTTGTACTGCAATAACTTAAGTTAGTTCATCTGTTTATCCCGTTATTAAAAGAACAAACATCTTGAGTTGCAGTCTTGTGTGCCAAATATCAACTAACTGTGATGATCAAGTCTCATTCATTACTGGCACAAAAGCATTTGTTTAATGAATACAAACTATGCATAAAAAGTATAAAATACATTCAAGTGACCTTTCTTTTAGCAGTACAAAGCCTTCTTAAATCTTTAAGCAAATTAGATGCCACACTCCACATCCTTAGAAAGCCAAATGCATTTTCATGAGAAGGCTGGACTACAACGGGGTATTCCATGACTGAAGCAAGAAGCAGAAAATGCTTACAAGAAAGTGGGACATTAAGAATTTTCAAAAAGAAGCTGCTAAGCAAACAACCTGTATAAGACTAAATATTGGCTAACAGTTGAAGAAATACCTGGAGCAGCTCCTATGAGTCGTCCTGATACATCTGATCCAGGCAGCTTTTTTTTAAGAATGGGAACAATCTTCTCGTCAAAGTATTCCATAGCCATGGAAGAGATGTCCCTTAACTCTTGAAGAACTTCATGGGCTCTTTGAGGAGCTCTTGTAGAGTTTACATATCTTAGCACACGATAGATTTCATCAATCACCTAAAATATTGAAGAATCATTAGATATTCTGTTGAGTTCAGGGAAAAAAAGCTTAAAATAGTTATTGAAATGATCTGAAATTCTGATCTACTGCTAGGCTTCTCTCTCACACCCATCACACTAGCATAATGCTGAAGAGTATAGTAATGACATTTTATATTTTATAGAAAAGCAGAATAAAATGATGGCATGTTAAGAAAAACGTTGATGCATATTTACTACGATAGTTATCTTTGAACTCATGGCCTAATCTATTCACAGCATGAAATTTATTGGAACATTCTATAATAACTTGCAACATTTTGTTTCATGCACAGCCCGGCAGCGTGGACAGCAGTGCCCTGCAGGTAAGTCTGTGAAGGGGAAGGGGTTTGGAGGGAGGGAAGGGGCATGCGGGGGGGAGGAACACAGATCAAGACCCCCAAGATGAGGGAGGAAGTGGGCAGGGGCTGGGGGTGCTGCCCAGCCAGGGCAGTGAATGGGATCCAGGGTCGGGGCAGGAGTGGGACAAAGCCGCAGGCAACTCATACAGGGGATCAGTGTCCTAGTACTTAAAAATGGTGTTACTGGCACTTGAATTAAAGCTCATGAAGATAGCTTTAGTTCAAGCGCCACTACTACCATTTTTTTAAGTGCAGGGACTCTCTTAAACAAAGCCAAGCCAAGCTGGGTGAGGGCAGATAAGAGTTGCCTGCTGTGGGCTCAGGGCTCCCCACCCTGCTGCCTTTGCCCCAGGATTCGTGCACTGGCCCCGCATCTCCTGCCCACCTGGCAACAGGAGGCACAACTCGCCACCTCCACTGCTGCTGGGTGGGCAGGGGGTGCGCATCCAGCATATGGCTCCTGAGGGAACAGCAGCAGAGTGGAGAGCCCCGAGCCTGTAGCAAGCAGGCCACATTCACTTTGTGGATAAATCTGGGGCGGCACATGTCCCCAGTGCCTCTCCTGGGGAGGGGGTGTGTGTGCAGTGGTGGGGAAACCACCCCTTCCCTCCAGACGAGTCACCCATGGCTCTGTCCTGCTCCCTGCCCTGGGTCCCACTCACCACTCTGGCTGTGAATGGGAGCAGTGAGGTAGCCCCTTCCCCACTCCCTCCCTCACTGTGGGGACCTCGATCTACCCCCGTCCCCCCATGCCCCTTCCTTCCTCCACACTCCTTCCCTTCCACAAACTTAACTGCAGGGCACTGCTCTCCACACTGGCCGGCTGCATTCTGGCCATGTGCATGCATGCAGCTGCGCACATGCGCACAGTTTCTGGGGGCCCCAGCCAGAAGGCATATTATATTTACCAGTGACATTATCAGCTACACCAGTCAAAAAAAAAAAAAAAAAAAAAAAAAAAAAAAAAAAAAAAAAAAAAAAAAAAAAAAAAAGCAGATAGCAGATAACATTAATTTTCTTTTTATCTGTGTTGATCTGACATGCAACCGATATGTTGGTGCACCTCTAGTTGCAGCTTTAAAATAAAACCTGGAAGGTTTTCACTTAAATATAAAATACTGTCCCATATAGAAGCCTAGGAGGTATACAAAACTGAACTTGGTATCAACACTTCTCATTTTTTCTCTTTTTTATCCCTGTAATGTGCCAGTGTATGTTGAGAACACAAGTGCTAGGGGTTGTCCAGGTTGAAGCTCTGGACACTCAGGAAGGCATGAAAGTAATTAAGAACTGTGGGAGAGAGTTGGTTGTGTTGATATCTGACCTGGTTACCTTAAGTCTCAGGGCTACATATCGCTTTGCACTGAATGGGTCTGTTTACACTTCTAAGTGCTCTAAGGATACAAACAGACATCAGCTGAGGTTACATTTGTGCCACCATAAACATTTTCATGGTAGCACAAGTAGCAAGAAAAGAGATGTACCTACCTCTTTGTTGTGCCACATCGGGCACAATGGGTGATGTTAAACAGTATTGCTTTATTGCAGCAAACATCTATTTACTCTGTGGCAGGAGAGTGCAGGTATCCCAGAGCTGCCTGCACCTTCCAGCTGCCCTGGGGCAGGTGCTCTGCAGGCTTGAGGGACACAATTCTCTACTATTTGTCCTGGGTTGTGCAGGATTGGACCCCTTGAGCATCTGCCTAGCTTTCCCCACTTGGAGACCTGCCTGGGGAATTGTGGGGTGCGTCTAAGTGGGAAAAGTTAGAGTTCCCTGCTTATGGAGACCCTCCCCAAGATCTCCAGGAGTGTGTCTAAGTGAGGAACGCCTGTGCAGGTCCCAGGGAATCCCTAGCACCATGTGCCTCCACACCAGGACTATGGAACCCCCATGCCTCCATGCTGGGACCCACACCAGGTCCCAGGTTGATCCATGCTTCATGTGGAAGCACAGGTAGACACAGGTCCGGCAGAGATGCAGGGTGGCACAGGACCCAGGGATTCCTGGCACCCCTCAACTCCAAACCAGCACCAATACTGATCCGTGTCCCCAGGCACGGGTGCAAGCATGGAGATACAGGGTTCTAGGAATTCAGGTCTGGCACCTCCTTGCCAGGACTTGCACTGACCCGTGCTTCATGTAGAGGCATGGGGTGCTGGGGATTCCTCAGGTCCCTCACTGCCCAATGCTGAGACCCACACCTCTGCATGAGGTACAGGTTGGCCTGGGACCCAGGTCCCAGCAAGGGGCAAGGGAAACATTGCCTACTGTCCTGCATCAGACCCCTCACTGATGCAGGGCAATAGGTGATGTGTGCTTCATCCAATAAAGTGGATCAGCTGTGGCAGGACACATTCCCCCACAGCTTGGTATATTTTGTTTGGCAATGGCTGTTTATATCTTAAGGTTAACCACATATCATCAGAAAGACAAAGCTGCACTGCTTTGGGGCAATTTGAAGTCTTATCTAAATTAGGATTTAAGATACATTGTCATTCCATGTTAGCTAATGAGCTAATCTACTCAACTCTAGTCTTACAGTGCACCATGGTATGACAAAAGGCAAATTCTGCAGCAAATTTCAAGGTTGAGAGATTACACATGGGCCCTGGCTATAAAGTAGGCTCCGGTTGGTATCAACCTAGTCATTGTACAAGAGGCAAGAGTGGCTGTCATTCAATAGTTTGAGTATGCAGGAAGTAGTAGTTCAATGACAGAGGGAACTGAAGAATAGCTGGGAAGCCAGCTACGTTAGCTAATAAAATGTTTATATAACAGATCCCTTAATTTTGCATGCCCACACAATACAACAACACTGTCTTGCAATACAGTAGCAGGCATAACCATACATAATATCCGGCAATTGTAGGCAAGCATTCCTGAACTGGTATCCCAGATACACAGATGAGCGCTATCACTGGGGAAATATCAAACATTCCTTTGTTTACATTGGGGCAGGCAATTATTTTGGGAGAAGACCCACTTACTGAGTTTTGGCAAGCCATTAAGGGCCACATGACAGGCAGCCAGGGCAGGTTTTTTTTTTTTTTTTTTTTTTTTTTTT